CTCTCTCTCTCTCTCTCTCTCTCTCTCTCTCTCTCTCTCTCTCTCTCTCTCTCTCTCTCTCTCTCTCTGTCTCTCTCTCTCTTGCATGCCCTCGTTCTTTCCTCGCGACTGTTTTGGCTCTTGAGAGGAGGCAGCTTAGTACTTGAAAATCTGATTGTTGTTCCCTTTTTTTTTGTTTATACCGTTGTTCCGCTTCTTTGTTTTGGTATATGATGATGGATTTTCAGGAGGCGAAGGAGGCATATGCAGAGGCCCTTGGGCCTGGGCCGTGGGTAGCGCTGCTGGGCGCAAAGTGGCCAGATGCCAAACATAAGGGACGTCAACCTGCCCTAAAGATACCGGTCGATAGCACCGTTGTGCCCGCGGAGAAACTCACCACGCTGTTCAACTTGGCGCGGATGCTAGAGAGGCAACACGAGACACTATTGGCGGGGGACCTCTACACACTTATTGTGGAACAGGTATATGTGGTGTGTGTGTGTGCATGGAGACAAGTGCTAGTCTAAGGGCCTGTGATCCCATTAGCAAAGAGGATTGGGCTTAATTCATGAATCTGGATGTGCCTTGTGCAGAGAGATGCAGAAAAGAAGATCAATCGTAGTTGTCTGCATCTCTCCACAAACATGTCCAGATTCGGGACTTGAATCCAATCGTCTTTGCTGATGGGGTCAGGGCCTAAGGCTCTTCAGTCCTTTTTGTTTTCCACCACTGAAGCAAAGTCCATTTGGCTTTGTTCTTGAGTAAAGGTCTTTCTATTTTGTTGAGCGAAGGTCCTTCTATTGTTTTGGAGTAAAGTGACAGAAGCCCTCTTTTTTTTCCATCTTCCCCCCCCCCCCCCCCCCCAAGATCGTGGTCTGACAATACACAAAGGCCGATTTGTTATCCATTGCAAAGTAATACGGTCTATTTAATTGTTTTTAAGATTTATTGAATTCAGCTATCCCTCTTCTATTGAAGGTGTGCACGTAAAGGAAAGGCTAGAGCTACGGATGGTTTGGACCAACAGTTTGGGCTCTGGCCAGCGGAAGATCGCATCGTTGTATACAAGCAGGCTGCCCCCCCCAAGATCGTGGTCTGACAATACACAAATCACTTTTAAGTTTTAAATGAGGCCGATTTGTTATCCATTGCAAAGTAATATGGTCTATTTAATTGTTTTTAAGATTTACTGAATTCAGCTATCCCTGTTCTATGGAAGGCGTGCACATAAAGCAAAGGCTAGAGCTACGGATGGTTTGGACCACCAGTTTGGGCTCCGGCCAGCAGAAGATCGCATCGTTGTATACAAGCAGGCTGCAGAAAGGTCCGAGGTGGAGGCGGTAGGCACCTCGATGAAACGGCTGAATTGGCCACATAAATTTTAAATAGGTACCGTGTCTCACACCGAGAGGTGCCGGCCTCGGAATGGATCAGTCAAAAAAGCTCGGCTGGCCTGAAATTTTAGTTTCAAGTTTCAACACAAGTTAGCTCCCGTCGAACTCGTGTGTTTGTGTCTGTTTGTGTGTGTCTGTTTGTGTGTGTGTGTGTGTGTGTGTGTGTGTGTGTGTGTGTGTGTGTGTGTGTGTGTGTGTGTGNTTGTGTCTGTTTGTGTGTGTCTGTTTGTGTGTGTGTGTGTGTGTGTGTGTGTGTGTGTGTGTGTGTGTGTGTGTGTGTGTGTGTGTGCGTGTCACTGTGCTGACTTCTACGTGTGGATGATACGAGGGGTTGTCACTGTGTCTCCCGACAGACTGTTGCCGTAGTCTGCCTTCATGTGCTACGAGTGAGCCCCTACCGTGTGTGTTCTTACCGGTTCTTCTGTGTGTGTCACTGTTTTCCTTTTTTTCAGTTTTGTGTCATTTCATTTGAAAAGGGGTAAGCCCCTAACATTTTCCTACCCAGCTGATTTGATCTGGATGTGAAGTTTGAACTCATGAGCTGTTGAGTAACAATTAGATGTGTGTTTCATTAAGCCATAGGGGCTGTGAATCTGCTTTTTCTATCTGTGGGGGGGGTGATGATTTTGTGTATTTGTTTTTGGATGATGAAATTACGCCACCATCACACCATTATTTGCATCACAAAGGGGGGGGGGGGGGGGGGGAATGCAGCCCCTGCTGTGGCTGTGCAATGCTGAAGGAGAAGCAAAACAACTGCGCATATTGTTAAGTTATGATTATCTATTAACTGAATTTAACTCCCATATGCATCTGGTCTGTGCAGTATCCCAAGTACATCGATTGCTACCTGCGGTTGGCGTCAATGGCACATAACAGACGTGATTATGCTGCAGCAATGGGTTTTGTAAGTTTACGGCTTCGGATTCCCTTTTTCTGATCTTTTTTCCTTTTTTTTTGTTCATTAAAAAAGACTGAGGTCCTTATGGTACTGGGGTCCTTCCTGTTTGGGAGAGTGCCAGTCGATCTGTTCCTTTTCTACCGCCAAGTCGCTGCCTGCCTTTTTCCATTTGTCTTTGTTTTAAAGACTTTTCCCGTTTCTTTCGAGGATTTTCAATTTTCCCCTTTTTTTTTCTTCCCCCTTCATGGGTAAGCTTCAGTCAGTGGCAAGTGGAAGAGTGTTTAGTACTGTTTACAAATGTCATACATCAATGCTTCCTTCCTTTTCCCTTTTCTCTTTCTTCTTTTTTTCCTTTTTTTAAGTTTTTCTTCCCCCCCTCCCCACCCTTTTACTCAGGACACTTTTGTTCTCTCATTGTCCATTCGATATTTGTGTTTTTAAACTTTATCGGAACTTTTCCCCGTTTTAAAAACTTTTTTTTGAAAATTTATAGTTTTCCTTCTTTTTCTTCCCTCCCCTTTATGGAGAAGCTTACTCAGCCTGGTTCCTTGTTCAGCAGCAAGTCGAAATTGTTACAAACGTCATACATCAATGCTTCGTTCGTTTTTCCTTTTTGTCTTCCTTCTTTTTTTCTCCTTGTTCCCCCCCTCCCCCCCCCCTCCTCTTCGTTACTCAGGGAATCCTTGTTCTCTCATTGGTTACTCTAAATTTGTGTCTCCCCTGGCGAAGCCCCTGCTCCCTGCACCCCAGCTCTCAGGCTTCTTTGATGTGGACATCCAATCCAGCAGACAATCTCTTCACGGGCTCCGTGACAGGCACCAGCGCTTGTTAGGTAGACGTAGTCCTACAGTCTTCGCACAAATAGAACGCACACACGTCGTACAGTGATTTTTATTTTTTTTTGTTGCCCTGTGACCTGCAAATTGCAGGAGTGTGAGGCCTTGTAGAGAGATCTGGGGTTTGCCGAGGGAGGAAGGCAATCCAGTGGCGAACCGGGGGGGGCCTGCTAGGTGGCGAGAAGAGATCAGCAATGGGTGACGTTGGTGAGGGGGTATTGTCTCTGAGTTACTGTGTCCTGGTATAGGGAAGGATAGGAGTTACTCTAGGTTTGGGAGGCCAGAATAGGTGATATAGCATAGTCTACTAATCAATTTTTATAAATTCTAATCATCATCATCATCATTAGTAGCAACATCATTACTATCATCATCAGGATCATCATCATCACCATATGAGGGATGCTGAGCCCGGTTCTCAGCAAGTTTGGTTCGGTCACTCCGGGCAGACTGTGAGGACCCCGGCCTCAATATTTTCATTGGTAACGTCGTACAGTGATTATGCCTGTCTCATGTGCAACTTTCAGTTCAGATTCTTTAGATACGATGGTGATCACTGTATACCTTCTGTTCGGGTGAAGACAGTAGCCATAGCACTGTCACGCAAGCCTTGTTGTAAAGGAAGGCAATTTGGATGCTCGGTGTGATTCCTACAGGCGGCATTGGTTCAACTTGCTGTCCAGATACAACGGTGACGACTCTACCTTCTGGTCGGATGAAGAGCCAGTAGTAGCTGTAGCACTGTCATGCGAGCCTTGTTGCCCATGCACTTGGGATAGGCTCCCTGAGCACTACCTCATGCCCGCCCCCACCCCATCCAGGGCTTCATACCTAGAGTTCGTGTGCCTGCATGTGTCCGACCCACAGGCAGTGTCTACTGGGGCATCAGGCCAAGGTCTAACCAACCATGAGGTAGTATCCCTGCTTGAGTCCGACCCTGAGTACTACCCCTGCGCCGGCCTCGTTCTCCCAAGTACAACAGACGGTCCACATCGCAGTATTTAGACTGAAAGATACCCCAAATACAGCAGCTATAATTACCGTACGCTGTGAGTGAACACAGTAGCACGACCATATATTGTTTGTACCTGCTCCGCTTGTTCTGAAATGGGTATGTACTATGTAGTGGGGAGGGCGCTTCAAGTCGAAAGTCTTATGGACATCATACACCAGCGCTTTACTCCTTTTTCCTTTTTTTAATTTCAAAGTTTTTTTTTTTTTTTTTCAGGTCCTTTTTTTGCTCTTGGATTTGAGGGGGTGGAATGTTTGGTTCTTTGCCCTCTCAGTTTGCTCGGGTTCATGTGCATTAAGTGTTCTTTGCCCTCCCAACTTTTTGGTACCTCCATGTCTGCATTTCCAAGTCGCAATCTTGACTGAACCCACCGTTCCAGAAATCCGTAACAATGACTAACAAATCAGAATAAAAAATAGTTTAGAGAAAAAAACAAATTTAAAAATAAAATTCAGAGGCAAAAAAAGAAAAAAATGAGAGGACATATCATTCCAACCTGAAAATCGGCACCGGACAACTGATGTTCTTCTTGTTGTCCACGTGTCAAATGGAGAGCGGAGAGCGAATCTGAGCTTTTGTATGGTGGTGTTTAAGCGAAGGAGGGCGGGTCTCGGGAACGGAATGGCGGGAGCAGGGAAAGCGGGCGTTGGAAGGGTGTGTACTGGACGGGATATGAAATGATGGGGGGGCAGGGGTGGGGGTTGTTTGAAATTTAAATGTTGGAGGGGGGACAAAATTCACTCGGTTTTCTTTTCTATCTTGAATCTTGGTGGGAGACCACTGGTCAAAAGATTCCTCCAACTTATGTTTTTTTGGTAATAAAAACAAAATTAAAAAATACAGCTGTCTTGTCCTCTTATATGGGGGACAAGCTGTATTTTTAGTCTTTTTTTTTACCTCCCTTAGCTCCCTATTATTTTAGTATTTTCTTCTCTCAATCTTGTGTCCACCTCACACTGAAATCGGACTCGCTTTCTTCTCACTTCGCATGCATGCAAACAGATAGCGAAACACACTGGCGCCAGGCGCCCACACAAAGCTCAGAGACAATATGGCCGAGAGCACAGTTCAGATACAAACTTGCTTCCAACTGGCTATGGCGCCTGAGCGCCCTCACACATCATCAGCCCAACACTGTATTCACAGCGACTGTTCACACACGCTCAATCCCGGATCTCCCTGGATATCCCACGCACACACACTCTGTGTCACACACACACACGCACACACACACACACACTCTTACTAACACCTATTGCTAGCTATGGCAGCTATGGACGCCGGCTATCACTATCTACAAGCAGCGATGGCTGCTCTAACTCCGACTCTGCGCACTTCGACTTCGGGCAATCTGCAGACCACCTCGCACAAGACGCTAGGGCAGCGCTTTCGCATGGCTCACACAGGAATGAATGAATGGCTGGACGCTGCCTCTTGATTTATACTTTTGTAAGTCGCTGGTCTGCCCCTTATCACTGGGCCCATGGTGCACACAGTCCCACATGGTACGTGACTGGACTAAGTGAGACTGGGACGGGGTACCGCTGACTAAGCAAGGTTGGACTCACCACTTGCCCACTTGCCTCTGGTCTGCTGTGAGCAATGTTAGAAAGGCCACTTCCGGACCTTCCGGAAGCCTGCGGACTTGGCCTTTCGGAACTGTAGCAACTACGACCTTGTCCTTTCAGGACTGTAGCAGCTATGACCTTGACCGTTCAGAATTGCTACAGCTACGTCCTCTACACAACTATGACCCCTAGTCGACAGACCCGACAGCTACATCGACCTACGCCAGACAACAAGTGACTCCTGAAACGCAGGTCATGGGTTCAAGCACAGGGGTACTGTACACGGGTGAGGTGAGGTCTAGGGATCGAGCCCTGGGATCTGCATCTGCTGCTGTAAAGGTGAAAAACCGTTTAACTCCCGCCGGCCTAAATTCGAGGTCCTCCGAGAATACTTCAGTCCAAGGCAGGACCTTTCCCTTTCTTATTTCTCTCATAGGCTCGAACTATACCGGGAGCGGTCTCTGGAAGCTCTGTCCGTGTGAACCAGCGGTCGTCTTCTGGTTCTTGAAAGGAGAATATGACTTTATACTGTTTCTGTGGACGACCTCTACCTCCTGTTCTGAACACATCCTCATCAACCATACGATCAATGTCGTACCTTCCGTCCATGTCTGGAGGAATCATCGACCTTCTCGACGGAAACTGCTGACTTGTCGTGCAAGGTAACAACTTCGATGCGTGAAAAACTGGATATGTATGGAGGTGTGCTGGAATCTCAATTGTGTAGGACGGTCCATCTTCTCCGCCCTTGACTTCTAGGACTGGCCACGGTCCTCTATATGCAGGCAATAGCTTCTGCGAGATGTTCTCCTAAGGAGCAAACTCTTTTGACTTGACCCAGACTATGTCGCCTACTTGAAACTGTGATGGGCGACGGTGTTTGTTGGCTTGTTCTATCATCTTGTGCTGGGCTTTCCTGAGGTTTGCGACGGTAGCAATCTCCTTCTCATGCTGGAGCTTAAACTCCCTCGTACCGGGCGGTAGGCTCTGGATCTGATCCCGGTTCAGTCCCGCAAACGGTCTGCGCGGTCTAAAGGACTTATGCAACTCGTTGGGAGTGCGACAAGTGGCTAAGTGTACACTGTTGTTGTATGCGCTAGGTATCTTCGGGAGCATCTCATCCCAATTGACCTGATCGGGTCTAATATACATCCTGAGAACTTGCTGCAGGATTTTGTTCATTTGTTCAGTCCGACCGTTAGTCTCTGGATGACGGCCAGACAACATCAACAACTTAGAGCAATAAACTCTCATCAACTCCTGCCAGTTCTGACTAGTGAACCTGGTATCTCTGTCACTAACTATAGACAGTGGCAGACCATGTTCACTGACCCAATGATCAAAAAACTTTTCTATTACTTAGTTTGTACGTACCTCTGAAGGCAAAGGAACAAACAGTGCATACTTGCTAAATCTATCAACTATAACCATGACTTGGCTCTTGCAATGCCTACTCCTGACCCCAGCATCCATAAAGTCAATAGACACAAAATCTCCGCGTCCTGCGGGAATAGGCAATGTTCTGAGAAGACCAAGAGGGGCTCGCGTTGTGGTCTTGTTCCGTTGGCACACCTTGCACCTGCGTACATA